AAAAGGACAAATCCTGTGTGACCCCACGCATTGGAGGTCCCGAGAGGAGTCAAATTCATAGAGACAGAACGGTGGCTGCCAGGAGCTGGGGGAGTAGAGATGAAGAGTGTTAGGGGCTAACTTGTGTCCTGTCCCCAAATTCACACGCTGAAGCCCTCACCCTCCCCAATACCTCAGAACGTGACTGTACTTGGACTTGGACTTGGACTTGGACTGCCTTTGAAGAGGTAACAGACACACATTACTGTCTATAAAATAGATAAACCACAAGCACCTACTGCAGAGCACAGGGAACTATATTCAATTTCTTGTAATAACCTATAACGGAAAAGAATCTGAAAAGAAAATATATGTACATATATGCATAAATGAATCAATTTGCCATACACTGAAACTAATATTGTAAATCAACTACACTTCAATAAAATTTTTTGAAGAGGTAATTACAGTGAAATAGGATCATTACAGTGGGTCCTAACCCAGTATGACTGGTGTCCTTATAAAAGGATCTGAACACACACAGAGGAAAGGCCACTTGAGGACAACACAGAGAGAGGGTGGCCATTCCAAGCCAAGGAACAAGGCCTCAGAAGAAGCCAGCCCCACCAGCACCTTGTATCCTAGACCTCCAGCCTCCAGGACTTGAGATCACACATTCCTGTAGAGTCAGCCCTGCTGTCTGTGGTGCTTCGTTAGGGCAGCCCCAGCAGACTAGGCGGGGGCTGTTTGATGGGTATACGGGTCAGTCCAGGAAGATGAGAACGTTCTGCAGGCGGACAGTGACAAGTCACTCAACAGTGTGTACATGCTTAATGAATGATACACCCAAAGTGGTTTTTTTCCTTCTTTTTCTTTTTATGGAAGTAAAGTCAGTTATAACGTGTCAATTTCTGAGGCACAGCACAATGTCCCAGTCATGCATATACATACATATATTTGTTTTCATAAACGATATTACAAGATATTGAATATATCAAAGTGGTTTAAATGGTAAGTTTTATGTGTATTTCACAATAGAAACTTTAAGAAAAAAAACAAACAGAAAAGAGGGGGAGGGTATAGCTCATTGGTAGAGTGGATGCTTAGCATGCAGAAGATCCTGGGTTCAATCTCCAGTGCCTCTATTAAAAAATAAATAAATAAGCAAACCTAATTACCTCCCCTTCCAAAAAATAAATAAATAAATAGAAGAGAAAAAAGGACAAAAAGGGAACTTACTTTGCTTCTAAAGCCAAGGCGATGATGCCGGCCACCATGGGGGCCGAAACCGAAGTCCCAGTGTGGCCATCAGTGCAGCGCTGGCGCAGGTCCGTGGTGACCTGGGGGAACGGCAAGAGGCGGGGTCAGAGGTGACTCATGGCGCTGCCCCTGGGCAGGCGCGGTCATGGGTCCCAGGGACGGAAAAGGCGCTTTGCAGACACACCTCCGCAATGGGGCTTTTGGCGCGTCTGCCGCTCCCTGCAAAGATGCCTGGCTCTCACATGTGAAAAACGGACCCACTACAGGAAGAGGCTGACTGTAGGGTGAGAACGGAGGTCAAGGCAGAGGGAGGCAAGGAGCTGGGACCCACACACCGTCAGTGGTGCCGATGTGCATGGTGGCTGTGCCCGGACTCAACGGGGAGACGCAGCTAAACAGATTCCCTCACCAGCGACCCCCAAGTCACTCCTGCCTTCAGAGCAGCTGGAAACACGTGGCCACAGAGCATTTCTGCTGGGAGCCAGGGGTCATGGGTGGATCACAGAAGACGACAGGTCATTCTCCTGGTAGCTTCTGGTGTCCCAAAGCACCTCCTGTTCCTTCTCGGCTGGAGCTACACCTGGACCCCCGCACGCACCTGGTTTGTACCTGCTCTCTGAGCTGAAGGGAGACGCACATGTGGGCGCACCTGGGACACCTGCAGTGCTGGAGGGATTCTCTGCGCATTTTGCAGAAGAAGGGATTAAGGCTGTTCACCGACTAACCCTACATCAGGGATCTACCCCGGATTAGCTGGTAGGCCCAGTGTCATCCCAGGGCCCTCACAAGTCTGTCAGAGAGGAGGCAGGAGAGGGGTCCAATCCCTGCTGCTGGCTCTGAAGAGGTGCTGGGGGTCACCAGGGGAGGAACGTGGGTGGCCTGCAGAAGCCAGGAACAGCCCTCGGCAGCCCGCCCACCAGGAAACGGGAGCTCAGTCCCATAACCACGAGGAGCGAAGTTCTGCCAACACCCTGCTTGAGCAATGAACGCATTCGCCCCCAGAGCCTCTGGGAAGGAACACAGCTCAGCCAACACCTGGATCTCAGCCTTGGGAGATGCAGGCCGGAGAACCAGGGCGGGGGCTGCTGCCCCTGTGACCCACAGAACCGTGAGGTAACACATCTGTGCCGTCTGGCTACGTCTCGCAGAACCTGTTACGACGGCAACAAGAAACTAACACACCCACCCACTGCAAGGCTGCAGGAGCCCATCTGCAAAACACGGTGGTCACAACCCAGATCCTCTTCCAAAGGGAGCATCTTCCTTGGTCACTTTGCAGCTGGACGGACAATCACCAGGGTGAGGGAGTCCAGCCTGTGTCACACACACAGGAAAACTGGATAGGAACACTGCCAGAGGCCAGCCTTCTCTGGCCTCCTCATCCAGCAGACAGAGGCACCTTGACCTTGGGAGGGCAGCTGAGGGCAAGGGAGCAGAGCCCAGGATGCAATCTCTCTGACTCCCGGATCTTCATCTGCAAATGGGCATAATGACACGTCCTTCTGTGAAGGTCACAGCTGGCACCCAGCACATAGATAGTCAGTCAGGGGTGGCTGGACAGGGAAACGGGGCATCTGAGCAGGAGGCCAAGCAGCCAAGAGCAGGTGAGGCCCACGGCTGGCTCTCCAGCCTCAGACAAAGGGTCCTGGCGGGGTGATCAGAGAGGCCTCCCCGCAGGGAGGGGACAACGGAATCAGGGTGGGTAGCCCCCATCCTGAGACAGAACACCGCATTCAGTGCATGGCTCAAGTTCAGTGTGTGATGCCCATTTGGGGGGTGCCTTCTGTTGCCTTGAGCTAGGCCTTAGCATCAATCTCTCCACACAAGAGGAACGGAGAACACAAGGGGACCATCCAGAGGGTGGCTCACCCCCTGCAGAATCTCTAAGGGATCTCAGAGCAAAACTTGGCCCTGGTTGAAGTGGAAAAAAAAAAAAAAGCCACCCACACTATCAGGGAAGAGTTCTAGGATAGTAGCTGCAACTAAGTACTTTTTTTCCTTTTCTTCTCCCAATGTCACCCTTTTTACCCATATGTTATGACTCCGAGATCTTTTTTTTAATAAAAGAAAAAGGAATTCAGGAATTTAGTGGCTAAGGCACGTGCCCCTGTGTGCACACAAACAATCATGCACATGCAGTGTGATTAATACCGCAAATAAAGCCGGAAGCCTTGCTCCCAGGGAGGGAAAACAGTGTCTGCCCAGCATGGAGCCCCCGGTACAAAGCGTCCGACACCCCAGGGTCCGTCTGCACCCCTCCAGCCCCCGGCCTCTGTTTCACAAGACTCTAGCAAGTCCATGTTCCAATGAGCCAGCTTTCTAAAGGAACAGGACACCCATTCAGCATCTCGGCCCCATCCCAGAGACGCGTGCGCCAGCAGAAAAGGAAAATAACCACTTAAATTAATACCTTCGTTAACTAGCCCGGGCTGCTGCCAAGCTGGTGGGGGAATGATCATGGCAGACCTTTCAGCTGGTACAGAGCTCAGAGAACAGGGAGCCTGTATGCTCCCGCAGAAAAATGTAAAACTACACTTGCAGATAATTTCTAAAGCTGTGGCCAAGCAGCAGGAGAAGTGAAAAGATGCTGGTGAGATTTAAAGTCAAATCACGTCGGGCCAGCTCCACTGTCTCATTTTCAAAATGCTTAAAAAACCAACTTAAGACATGCATTTGAATTCGGCATTAACTTCACCTTGAAACCCTCCTCTCTTTTTTTTTTTTTTCCAAGTAGGAAAGCACGATGGGGAGGAAGAAGCACAAACTCCACCTATGTACTCAACTTAAAGTTACTTTTTAAAAGATAAATCACACTTAGTTCCTTGAAGTAAGCGTAAGAGACAGAAACCATGCTTCACTTAACGTGTCTGGAAAAGTCCTTTTGCGAGGAAGGGAATACCTAGAAAAACACTCAGGTTTCTGAAATATTTCAGTATAAAGCCAAGACTTTCTTTTACTCTGTTTTGCACATTGAACCTGACTGAACTGGCCAGTTCGACCCCAAGCGATGTGACCACAGAGTTTTAGAAAGCTCTGCTGAGAATGCACCCCATTCTTAAAGGGTATTTTTAGATCTCTAAAGCCAGAGAGGGTTTTAATTGGCATCCTGAGCTAAAATTAGAAAGGCAGGGTCTGCGGAAAGTTGCCAAGGGACTGGGGTTTACCCTGAGGCCCCACGGGTTCGCAGCCAGGAGGGGCTCGGACCCTGGGACCTTGGGCCCTGGTACAAACCAGCCTGACCTGGTCCATCGTTTTACCAATAGGAAAAGGAACGTCCTACGTGCGCCACTCCACCCAGAGAACTCACGATTTTCCGCTCGTAAAATGCCCCGCTGCTGTAGGTGGTGGCCAGGGTGGACGCACACTCCTCCAGGTACCAGGGCTTGTAGCCGTTCTCGGTGGTGCTGCTCACGGAGATGGTGTAGATGCTGTTGGTGTAGCCGTCGCAGGAGCAGTAGTCCCCCTCACGCCCGCCGTTGCCCGACGCCCAGACAAAGATGGAGCCCAGGCCCTGCCGGCCCTGGAGGGGAGAGAAGCAGGCATCAGCCCCAGCCCGGGCCCCGGCCCTTCCAGGCTGGGTCTTCACATGCCTGGTGCCCTCCTCCTGCGGAACTCTTCAGAGGGGCCCTGGAGGATGGGATCAGGCCAGATGGATACCCCCAGGACATGGTTCATGGGCTCTGGTTGGATTTTAATCTGGTGCCTTGTGGCGACACCCTTGAAACCATAGAATCACAGGATCGCACAGAGGAGCTGGCCCGGAAAGCCCTCTCTGTTCTCCACGGCAAGGTCAAGGCCATCCTACAAGCTGCCCTCTTCCAGAGCGAGGCCTGTAATTTCCCCTCTAATGACCTATGATCAAAAAGACCAAGCAGTGTCGCAAGTCACACTGAGATGAAAGCTGACAGCTGACTTTACAAACGTTAATTTCTCTGGATTGAAAGAGCCAGTCCTGGGAGGAAGAGAGTGAATGTTCCACACCCAGCTGAGGAAGCACCCTTCTTGGAGGACCAACTGTTTGAGAAGAGGAGCAGGACAAGGAACTGTGGGTGGGGACTGATTAGTGAACATGGGTCAAGGTCCAGAACCCCCGGGGCTGTCCCAGGAGAGCTCCCCAGGGTCTCCACGTGGGTAGGCATTGAAGCGGTCAGATGGCCAACCCCTCCCAAGGCCAGTAGCCTCGCCTGTATGTGGGTTTTCATTTTTAGGAACGTGCACATGAAAGCAGGTCTTTGATCGACAGCAGCGGGTCAGGGCAGGTCCCTGCGGCTGCTCCGTCCCACACCCACAGGAACTAGGATTTATGACCCAATCAAGGGCTCAGCCCAGCCACAAACACCAGCTGAAAAAGAACACCAGTTCCAAGATGGAACTGATCCATTTGGTCCAATCTAGTCAGATCTGCTAGTGGTGGACAGCCAGCCCCAGAGAGGGTGCCAACACCCATCTCCGCACGAGACCGGACCCACAGGGCTGGTAACTCCAGCGTCCCTGCCAAGAAGCCTCCTTCCTAAACATGCAAGAGGAAATTGAGACTTACGCCCAACAGCTGGTCAATCTAAAGAAAACTTTCAACAAAACCCGGCAATTCCTGTAGAGTCCAACTGCTGAAGCCTTGCTTCAGTTCAAGTCCACCCGGGCTGAGGGGACTCACCTGCTCCAGAAGCCCCATGACACTCCTCTGTGGAGACCGAGTGGACCCCAGCTCCCTGCCCTTTCGTGCCTCTGTCCTAACTCCGACATCTCCATCAGTTCCAACCCAAGGCTCTCAACCAAGTCCGTCTCCTGCTCAGAGCTGCCTCATTCACTCTGTTTCCCACATCTCCAGGGTGGGTCTGTCCAGGATGCCAAAGACCCCAACAGAAAGTCACTCACATTCAGCAAAAAGGTCAACCTTATGGAAGAAAGGCACCAAGTACTAAGGAAATGGATGTCTCTGTGCTTCCAATTACTGGTAGGGAAAGAAGAATCGGAAACTGGTTCAAGGCAACTAAGATCCAGATGGGTTTTAACCCATCAGAGCCTCTCTTTACTCCCAGAGCATCATCCCTGAGACACATCCACCTCCGACTTCCCACCTCACTCCAAATTATTCATGAAAGGCTGTCATTCTGCAAAGCACAACCTCACCGCCGCTGCAGGGCATAGGATCAGACGCCGCTGGTCCAGGTGAACCTGAGAGTCTACATTTCTAATGGGCTCCTGGGTGACACCACAGCCGCCGCTTTGGACCCCACTTAGAGTCACAAGGGCCTAAGCACCAGAGATGTGCACCTCCCACCCTCCACTTCGAGGGTATTATCAGAACCATCAGTTCTGACAGGCGTCACATCGGAAAACACTTCCCTGGAAAGAGAACACGGGCACAAGGCAGAGGACACACCCAGATCTGGTGGGAAGAGAAGTCTCAGCTGCCTCTGAGGATGGCGTTTTCCCTTTCCAGGTCTGCTGCTCACACAGAAGCTGCAGGACGGAGGCTGTCGGGGACATTTCAACCCCAGCTGTGACCCTGCACTTGGGGTCAGGAAAGCCACAAACTTAACCCGGCCAGAAGGTATGTCAGCACCTCGCCTGGGAAGTGGGGAGAGGGCTCAGCCATGGATGTACCTGGACAAGGCCAGTGTCTTCAGACACAGTGATGTTTCATCTCCCCTTCTGGGTGACAAGCCACGTGAGGACTAACATCAAAAGATCTTGATGCCCAAGTATGGCGTCTGAAGTCTCCTCCCACCAAGCCTCATTGTCTACCAGAGACCAAGTAGGATTTTACAGAGAAAGATGGGAGGGGACAAATGGGGCATCAAGGCGGGAAAACAGATGGGAGAATGCGGTTCGGTGTGAGATCATCGAATTTCTAGGAGGATTTTCAGTGACAGCTGGGATTTAAGGCGCCCTATACGACACGTTTTATTCAGAAGCACTAAAAAAAAATGTGAAACGACCTCAATATTTCAAGAAACTGTGACAAGAATGACAGCAAACCACGTGGTACAGGCACCTTCCTCTCTCCCCTAAGAGCTCGACGCAGTCGGTGCTGCTCAGAATTTGGGCTGCAGAGAGCCCCTCCACATCTCCAGACTCTCCAAATCCTGCCTGGGCTCTGTCCACACAAACCTATGTGAAGCTGAGAACCCCAACAACCATCTGAAAGCAATCAGTACCCCTCCCGGAGACCCGGGGCCCCGTCCTAAGCTCTCCAATCTCAGAAGTCATCTCTTAGAAATGACAGACCTTCAGGACTGACACCCTCCAAGGCAGCACCTTCCACGCAGAAAATGCAATCTCTAACTTATTATCACTTACAGCAAGCTTAATTTTCAGGTTTCGCTTGTTATGAAGAGTGAGACCTGAATGGTCTGCTGGGATGGTGGGATTTTGTACTTGGCAGCGGCTGACTTGGTCACACCTGAACATGCCAGCATCTCTGGGCCAGCATGGGGCTCAGCACCTGGACCAAAGCAGCCTTTGCATTTGCTTGGCCTCATGCGGACAAAGGAAGCTGTCTGGTGTACCAAGCACAAGCACAGGGGCAAACGCTGTAGACACGCTGTGTGTGAGTCCTGAGCTCCGACGGTGCCCTGCTTTTGGTCACTACTTTGCAGACACTCGAGCCCTGAGTGGGTGGGGGGAGAGGGCGAGGAGCTCGGAGCCTCTGCCTCATCCTTGTGGACAACATCACCTCCCCTGGGGAAGGCAGAGCCCAGGCTCACCAGCCAGGAGGTGCAGGATGACGGGGTCTGAGGCCCGGGATATGAGAGGAAATGGAGGAAACTCTCAGGCATGCAGTCGGGAGGGTGGGGTGGCTGGGTTGGGGACATTAAGAGGTAAATACTCCACCCCAATGTAAGGGAACGTCTAGAAAGTGACCAAACTCAATCCATCCAGAAAAGCCATCAAATTGGATTGTTTAGAAAAAGGAAATCACAGAGTTAAAAAAAGACTGCTCCTTGGTGGGTCAGGATGCAGGGAATAGGCAGCGGGGGATGAGAGCTGCTTCCAAAATAACCCCCTGGTACTATCTGATTTGTTGACTGTTTATGATGCACGTTGTAATCATGGTGCCTGGTTTACAGTAAGATGAACACTTTTATATATATATATTGCTAACATTTGCAAATCTCAAATATTAGTTTCTACATATAAAAATAGATTAAAAAACCCAAATTTCTTTGGTATAGCACAGAGAATTATATTTAATATGCTGTAATAACCTTTAATGAAAACGAATATATGTATGTATATGCATGACTGGGACATTATGCTGTACACCGGACATTGACACGTTGTAACTGACTATATTTCAATTAAAAGAAAAAGATAAAATACTTTAAAAAGTGTTTTAAAATATATAAATGAGAAAATGGGCTTGACTCCGGCCCTACTCTCTTGTCTCCCATAGACAGAGGTTTCCATGCTGCCTCAGGGGTGCCTGGACTTCCTGCTCAAAGCCTGCCAGCACCACTGGGCCACACCTTGTGCTCTGGGCTGGGGCTTGCTAGACCAGCCAGGGCCACCCAGGTGCTGACCACAGCTCCGGGTCTGTTCCAAGAAGCTGTCCTCACCCAGAAGTCCACCTTGCCATTCTGCTTATAGCACTGGGTTACCTCCAGCGCCCACCCTCTCCCCCTCCCCGGCCTTCCTGACTCACAGGGGACCAGAACGGATGATGACAGACTGACCTGGGGTGGGCCTCCTGGGAGGAGCCTGCCAGCCTCCTCTGCCTCCCCTCAGGCAACACTCAGACGCCTGCTCTGTGTTATGCCTGGGGAGGTTTGACCCAAGAGATTCCAAACATGGCGGGCTGCGTGCTACCAGGCAGGGAAACCAAACTGAGACTTGCTGTTTTGGGGCGTGGATTAGCCACACCCCACCACAGACATGCGGAGCTCCTCAGCCTGATGTTTCTGTGGGCAGGTGGGCTGAGGCCCAGACACCCCTCTCACCTGCACAGTCCCAATAAGTTATGGTATATTTATAAAATGGAATACTACTCAGCCATAAAAAGAACAAAACAATACCATTTGCAGCAAATATTGCTAAGTGAAATGAACCAGAAAGAGAAAGAAAAATATTTTATGATATCACTTAGATGTGGACTCTAAAATACAAAGACACAAATGAACTTATTTACAAAACAGAAATAGACTCACAGACATAGAAAACAAAGATTATGATTAATGGGGGGGAGGGGGGAGGGATAAATTGGGAGTTAGAGATTTGCAGACACTAACAACTATACAGAAAATAGATAAACAATAAGTTTATACTGTATAGCACAGGGAACTCTATTCAATATCTTGTGGTAACTATAATGGAAAAGAATATGAAAACAAATACATGTACATGTATGACTGAAACATTATGCTGACACCAGAAATTGACACATCATTGTAAACTGATTATACTTCAACTAAAGCAAAAAAAAAAAAGCCACAGGCCAGGGGGTCGGCCTATAACCCCCACCACCCACCTGCACACAGCCCTCAGTGGGGGGCCGTCAGGCTTCAAGGCACAGGGACCTGGGGCTGGTGAGTGACCAGCCGGCACTATCGGGAACAGCTACTTGGTAACATGAGAAACCCTTCTGCCCTGGTTGGTACACAGCCACCTCCCTGAGCCCCTCATGACTTGTCCCTCACTTGGGTCATGACACAGAGGGGTCATCCACCCCACGCCTGCTTCAGGGCTCTAAGCTATGTCACTCTGATGTGTGTGTGTGTGTGTGTGTGTGCTGCTCAGATTTATTTATTGTTACCTCCATGACAAGTCTGCCTGTCACTGAGATGACCTGTTGGTCATCCAAGAAGACTTATTGTGAAAGAGCCTGAGGATGACCCCATATTTGTTTTTTTAAAAAGTAAAGGAACTCAGTTCCTTCTCCAAGCGCAGAGGCGTTAGAAGAGTGTTTTAGAAGATGGTCTTTAGGTTTGTAGGGTTGAGAGGATCTTTAATATTCTTTTTCCAGCCCCTTTATTTCTTCTGCTTTATTTTAATGACTTTTTTTAAACAGTCTAATTTTTATTTACTTGGGGGGCTATATATTACTTTCATACTATTTAGGGGAGGTACTGGGGATTGAACCCAGAACCTCATGCATTAGGCATGCGTTCTACCACTGAGCTGTCTCCTTCCCCCTTTTTTTCTGCTTTTTCATTGTTAAACTACGCTCCCTCTTCCCCACCCCTCCACCCCAGGTGCCCCCTTCCCCGGCTCCCGAGGTCCCCCCTGCCCCCGGGGCCCTGGGTCACTCACACCTTTTTAATGCCGTACTCGAAGGCCTGTCTGGCCAGGCGGCCGGGCCCGTCCACCGTCTTGCCGTCGTCGTCCGGCCCCCAGCTGGCGCTGTAGATGTCGATGTAGTTGGGGCGGATGCCCAGCGACTTGGCCTCCACCACGTCGGTCACGTCGCCGTCCAGCATGCGGACGCCTGAAAGCAGGGCGGCTCTCGGTGCGCTGGCGCCGGGGGCCCGCGGA